TGTTGAATAAAGTCTCAATTAAGGAGGGATTTTAGTTGAGGTAATAGTGGAAAACTATTAGGTATCTGGCATCATTAAACGATTGTTTCGTCCTCGTTTGGGACTTCAGCATATGATATCTTAATATGGGATTAGAAATTAGACATATTATCTTCTGATCCAGTGGTTTTGTTCTGTTTACTAATTTTTAAATTTACTCTTATATAAGTTTGTATTTAACTGAGCCTATCGTTGTTACTTCAACTGAAATGAAATCAATCTTTTTATTGAAATAATATCTTCTAATCTTCAAACTACGTATTTCTCAGTCTTTGAACTGATTGTTTATAAAGTAATCTTAGTTAATATTGTAAAGCTGACAAAAGTTGAAGTGATCCAATTAAGACCTAATGATTGAGATCTTCAACCGATTGATGTTAGACCACCATTGAAATTGCTGTTTTTTTATTCTTTCATTAACAGTTTTGAAAACACATGTATACAGAAGGCTAGGCTACTGTAATCGAAAATTACATTATAACAGTAGCAAAGTAAAATCACATGAAATGATCTGTGTGTAAACTTTAAAAACGAAACATAATCTCATGCATCACCCCAATTATCATAATAAAAATGAATGTCAATCAGTTTCAGTTTTACTATGTTTGAATAGATTACGTTATCACCTAAACCGGCGAATGGAAAGAAGGTCTGCAACAAAACAAAAGGACAAACTAAGCTATTCCAATTCTCCCCATTCTTGCTAACTAGAGGGAGAATATCAGATTCAGATGAGGAGAAGGTATATTGAACAAGCAGCCAGAAGCTCGAACGAACCAAGCATACAACTCAAGCCTATATGTAGTATAAAAAGGTCCTTGGGAAACGTCACAAAATATTGTATTAAAGTAGGAAACGAACCAATGACATTTAGGGTCCTTCCGAGTGGGAAATTCAATCTGACTGTAAAAATGGGAGCTTTCGGCTCAAAAATGAGAAGCTCGAATTTATAAAATAAAATTACAAAAAATAAGACGTTCACCAGTTGATTTCTGGGGATCTAGCAACCCCAACAGGTTTACGGAAAGAATAGTCTCCCTTGCAAACTCATCAATATCAACCTCATTTGTGAATACTGTGTCGCATATCATTACTTGGATGTTGAAAATTTTAAAAGCTAGTGCAATTATTTCATTTTATATATTATTCAAACTCAAGAGTGAGACTGTAGAGGCTAATTTCTTCCATATCTAACTCCTATAAATGATATCCTGTTAACTGAGTATTTAACGCCGGCTAAATCTCCTAGTAGAAATATGGATTTACTCAAGATTATTCAGAAGCCTGAACACCAGTTGTAGAGATATTTCATTGTTAAAGATTGATAAAATCCGCAAGCGTACACGAAGCAAGCACATAGTGAAACGAAGTGAGTGTGCGTGAGTGAGTGTTAAAAATCCATATGTACTTTTGAGTGTTAATCAAATATGGATTAATTATTGATTGTTTGTTTATCACAACCAATGGGAGAATAGATTAAAAATTGACATGTGCTCAATCAGACTCACATAGAAATTTACATAGTGAATTAAGTTTCTAATTTACAGTGAGCAGACAAATAATACTGTAGTGGAATGGGCTTACTAAAAGACATTGAATAAAGTGGTATCCAACAGTATTTCTAAAATAAATTGTACTAGTCATGCAATACTAACATAGACTGTCAGGGTGACTTTGACTGTAAATCATCTAAATTGTAGATCAAAGACTGTTCTTAACAAGGTCTTATTGAAGTCCTTACATAATCAATAAACATATTGACGCAGTTCCAACTTACGAGGACAAGGTCAGTTTATCACATGATCACCCTGACAAAAAAATAATTCATGGAAGTGCAAAAGAAATACATAAAGACAAATAGAACATTTGAAGAAGAGATCATTAGAACGGGTTATTTTGACAACTCTGGAAAGCGTATTTGGATATCAAGTAAATCTTCATAATGTTCGTATAGAATAGCAATGAACGCTTTACAATTGAGACCATCCAGTTTAAAGAACAAAATATGATGAAAGTTAATGCAAACCATCTCAAATTAATGAAACATTATTTTTGAATAAATATTCTTTTAATATTATGATCGTAGCTAATTGACAGAAAACTCTGAATATCGGTTTCATGGTAATTGTCACTCATTGAATCCACTAAAGAAAAAAACAACAGTCCTCTTAAGATTCCAAGTACCCCTCAGTGACAAGTGCAAAATACCACAAAACCTAGGTCGAGGAGGGTTTCCTGTCAACTATTTCCAATTGCCTAATATCAAACATAGTATATGGAATCTTTAAACATTTAGATAGATGATCACATTACAGATAGAATTTGATTAGGCAAATAGCATGTTAGTTACTTCTCACTGATCCATCAATGTAAATATTCTTTTGTTTAAGCATAAGCATTAAAAAGTTAACGTTAGTGAACCTTAGACTAAACAATACACAACTAATGTAACAAAAAAAAACAAAGTTAACAAACCTTTGTAAACATATTGTTTACATATTATCTTCAGTAAACTATCGCTGATATCTTCTTTATTCATCAATTTATTTACATATTTATATTTTGCTCTTAAACTGTTTTTCATTTGGAGCAAATACAAAGGGTGTGTGTGTGTGTGTGGAATGTATGATGGTTACATGAAAAAAAAGTTAAATTTTAATAAATATCTTTTATCAAAAAATAAGGGCGGTTATGAAAATATACCCTTGGTTTTAGTATAATAAGAAAACAGTTTGATTATTAGACATATTTGTATTGTTCATTTTGTGCATGCTTGTGTGTATATGTGTTTATGTTTCTTGTTATATATTCTCATTTCAGTAGTATGATTTAATTTCTACTTTTAATATACTTTGTCATTTACATAGATAATGCATGTGTAAATGTAACCTTGTTTATTTTATTACAGTAAAAGAGATATTTCAGATATCTTTCTAGAATTTATACATTTCTATCTAATATGTAACATTGAACTATACAGATATTGCCTATTATTGTTTAGAATACAATATGGGTGTAAGTTAAAATACTTAATATAAAGGAAGTACATGTGTAATCTGTCAGTTAACCGGTATACATTAGGTATGTGTATACATATAAATATGAGATCAGTTACATGAATTTTGTGAAATAATCAATGTCTATTGTACTCTAATGTTCAGTTGATCGATTTTTAGTAGTAATAGTTTGAATTTTTACCAGTATTTTTTTTGGTTTATTTCGTTAAATATGTTCAAGGCATTTCATAATAATCATGTTCTACTGTATTATCTTTTTAAATGATGTCATGGGAAATAATTGTACCTAGGATATTCGAGTGTGCATTGATCAATCACTGAGAAAGTGATCAATACCATGCTTATTTAGTTTTTAGTGCTAATTAAGTTCTAACAACCAAGCTATTATATGACTAATATGACTATGATAATGCATATACTATGTTTTGATGTTAAATGTCTGGTAGCAATCAGAATGAAACCGTAGATTTAGGTCTACTGATAGATGGGATTAGTTAGCTCAATAGTTGTTAGTCTTACTATGGAACTAAGTAACACGAATTCAATACTCACGAAAAGTATTATTTCTTTCAAGATTCCATATATTTCTTGTTGGATGAATCATTTTCATATAATCAAACAACTTTATCGGGAACAAGCTGATTTTATAAATTGATTAAACGTGTCAAGGTGACTGCATTGAATAAATATAGATCACATTGAATAGTGATATGAGGAGGAAAATTGATTTACTGAAATATTTATTCTCCAATAAGTTACTGGATTGACTGATAGGACGCTTTAGGGTCTTCGGTTACTTTTCGGAATTTGTTAAGATAATAAAAAAATTAATATTCATGAATAATACAAGTACTTTGACCTTAATTGCGATTTATCCAATGATTCTAATGTTACAATTTATCGTATAATAGCTGTAAAAGATATGCTTAACAGTTGTACAAAAAATATCCTATTGATCGAATGAGTACGAAAACATTTGCCCCTTGACTCCATTTTTGAATAACAAATTCTGTATTCGTTATAAATACTATAGGCTCATCATTGATCATCTGTTGTTTCATCGTGTTTGGTTAATTATTTAAACAGTACAAGGAATCACCAAATATACGTGTGCCACACTTCATCATTCAATTTGTGTATGAAGACAAAGATAATGCTCAGGTGTCCAAACTGAAAAAGGTGGTTTTCTTAGGAGACCACCCCTCGGACCTTTCATCTAGAGGTCTAATCCATAAGGCAGTGGAGCAACGTTAGGAGATCCAGTTCCATGATAGTCGGTGACCAACATTAGGTTCATATGTCGTTTGTCCCCTCAGAATCCTGGAAGCCATGTGCACTATTGATTTGGAATGAGGATTTTCCAATTACTCTATGTGGATCCTCCATATCCATCAACCATATTAAAGCATCGGACATCCATTTTTCGTCCCTCCAATTTCGTAAACGAAAGTAATGTCGCGAGAAGGCAGTGGCTAGGACTTCTCTTTTAGTGTCTGTATAGACGTAGTCATATGAGAGCATTTCGAGAGGGAGAGCCGACTCTCCCTACCACCTATCGTACCAGGGCATTTTATTACTCTCATTATTATTATTTTTATTGATAAAAATTTATTTCTACATAAATTAGCATAGTTCCTAGTGTGTTGTTGCATGCAGGAAATTCCACATTACTGGTATGTTTTATTGATTGAGTATGTATAGATTAGTTTAAATTTGTAGAAAAAATGATTTTCCTCTTTTCTGGATAGTTTTTTTCTTTGAAGCTAGTTTTAGCTTCCATTTCTTTTTGACTGAATTTTTGTGATTTGGCGTGATGCCAAAATATAGTTTTAAGCGGGAAAAATCTATAAACAGAACAGTCATTCTGTTTACTTATTGTTACTTGTTGTAAGCAAAAAAAGAGTTCAATACAATTTCTGTCTTGTATTTTCGCTTTGAATATAGCATTGCTATCCATCCGGATCGTATCACCGTGGCTACTGGTCAGTCTGCAGGACATGATAAGCAGTTTGGAAAGGTAAGTACTGTTTTTTCTTCTTTTAATTTGTAATCATATAATACTGTTACGGAGAATGCGTAATGCCGATGATGTCAGATATGTAGAGTTTCATATATTAGTACGGCGTATTCACTAAATAAACATTAGATAAAATGTCTACAATACCTTTTTTCCATTTTATGAAATGGTGATTAACATCGGAGGTACAACCTATGATCAGTGACATGCAATAAGTTATTAAGGTCATTGATTGTTGTATTGCACAATGTGTCGCGGAGCTCAAACGTTAGTTATGAAATTACAGACGAGACAAACTATTGAAGAAAGTCAATGATTTAACTACTTAATATGTCAGCCTACGTGTTATAGTCGAATGGGACCTCAGAAAACAACAATGATTTCATATTTCTCAGTCTTATGAGTTATTTTGCACTGTATTCTCTTTTTTTACATATTACTGGAGATACTGCTTTTACTGTGATTTTCATCTGAAAGAACTTGAACTGATATACATGTGTTTACGAAGTACACTTCGTTTTTATCCTTAACCAACTGATTTACTTCTGTTTTTTTTTAAATACAAATAACTATATGACATACATACCTCACAAAATATGGTAAGCTGTGGAATCTATTTAACTCCAATTCCCCAGTAAACATTACGTCCTTATATGTGTCACTGACCCACAAAGTGAACGGAGAAAATATTGGAAAATGTTGAACGTCGTACTTTTATCAAGTATCAAAAGATATGGTTCCCATCACTGCTCCAGTTCGTCCCTAATTATATAGTTTTTGTCACGTTTATCAAATTGTAATAGCCTCAGTAACTTCCGCCTACTCAGCTCTTAATAAGTCGCAAGTTTTCCGTCATCATATATTGAATTTAGTAGAAAATTTCAATAGTTTTTATCTTACATATGAGTGGTTCGTCAGTAAATTATACTTTTGCTTTTCCAATGAACAGAAAAATACTTGAAAATGCCAGATATAACAACTTTATAGAATACTGAAACAGGATGGTTATCGTCACACCTGACTGATCTGTCATATCTGACTGTACAGTTAATTGTTCACTGAAATGGTGAAAAATTATGAAAACTGTAAATTCAAGATTGAATGGTATTTGGCCGAACTTTTGAATTTTATAAAAGAAAAGAGTTTCTTAAACTATATTTTGGATATTGTCATCGTTACTGATATATTATTTATAGTTGCCTAGCAACATGTTATATATCTTCTCTAACAGATTACCAATTACAAGATACGAGTATTTAACTATGAAAACACAAACATTTATTTAGTATGTTAATCTCATTTAAATAATTCGATTATCAAATGACATAGCATATTTGCAATCGCCTCTTTAGTCAAATAATTTCATATTGACAAGTGTAGAAAATAATTAGGAAAAGGTAGATAATGTACAGATTAAAAATTGTCGCATTATGTTGTCGGGACTTATCTGATGTTTTTTACATGCTGAGAATATAAGATTTCAAAACATTTATGAAGTTTCGATTGATAATCATGATTCATAGGGTTCAAACATGTCATAAATGGAGCAGTAGTCATCAATGGAACTTAATAAACATCGCGACATATCCTGAAGTGATGGACGCTGACCCTGTGGTTTTAATGGTTGAGTGTTCTTTGCAACATATGAAGATCTTACGTTTGACTCCTATGGGGGATGTGGCTAATTCCAAGAAGTCTTATTCTTAGATGAAACATCTGTTCAGTGTTCTCTGGTTTTCATTGATACCCCAACTGAGATTAATCTGTGACAGATAAAACTTACTAATTAAGTTCTATCTGTTGCATTCGATCATGACCGTCTCTATATTTTGATGGTTTCCCTTTCGTTTAATTCTAATGATCCTGTTACTTACTTCATAACTGATGATTTTTGTCTAATGTTATCTGAATAATTTATCCTCCTCCATAATTTTCATCTTTCATAAATTTCTTTGTTTACTGTTGGTCCTTAAGTTTCATCTAATCGGTAATTGAGATGTTTTTTTTGTTGCTTTGAATTGTTGTGACCAGTAACGAACTACCGAAACTAAGTCGGCTTTTTTCCCCTAGTTGTAGACTTCACAATACTACACATCTCTTCACTAAGTTAGACCCAAAACATTCATTCTTTGCTGAGAACATTATGCCTTTAGACCATTGAGTTGGAATATTAAAGTCTCATTACACAGTCTGTGATATTACATAATCAGTCTATTAATCAATCATAGGCAACTGAGAACCTGGCATAGATGCATATCAGACCAAGTTATCATATCATATCACTGTAAGATGGGATAAAAAAAGTGAATACCAAGATGGCAGGAGCAGTAATAGTAGTACCAATCGTAGTATAAGAAGATTAGTAGAAATTCTATTCGGTTCGAGGAATAATGAAACTGTGGAGCAAAATACATAAAATAGTTTTGAAAATCGCAAGATCTAGGACTATAAAGTAAATGAATAAGCCCATCTCCACCACTCCGGCTGATTTTGAACCATGTCACTCAATATCTCTAACAATCAATAATTATTATCGTATGTGAGTCTTAATCAGACAGTCCTCTCTCCCTCTCGAAATGCTCTCATATGACTACGTCTATACAGACACTAAAAGAGAAGTCCTAGCCACTGCCTTCTCGCGACATTACTTTCGTTTACGAAATTGGAGGGACGAAAAATGGATGTCCGATGCTTTAATATGGTTGATGGATATGGAGGATCCACATAGAGTAATTGGAAAATCCTCATTCCAAATCAATAGTGCACATGGCTTCCAGGATTCTGAGGGGACAAACGACATATGAACCTAATGTTGGTCACCGACTATCATGGAACTGGATCTCCTAACGTTGCTCCACTGCCTTATGGATTAGACCTCTAGATGAAAGGTCCGAGGGGTGGTCTCCCAAGAAAACCACCTTTTTCAGTTTGGACACCTGAGCATTATCTTTGTCTTCATACACAAATTGAATGATGAAGTGTGGCACACGTATATTTGGTGACTCCTTGTACTGATGTTTATATGTTTAAATAATTATTAACATACGGCTATTGCTCAATTATGTTCAATGATAATCAACCAACCTTATCTAATAATTGTAGTACAATATTGTATGCGGTTTATTTTTCATGAATGATACTTTCTAATGATAAAAATCGATGAGAAAACAATGTAACTATTCTTTTATTATATGGGTCGTGAAATTAATGCAACATAATGTTCTCTGTCTTATATTTCTTAATTGATTATTGACAGGGAATTTATATTAAAATAGAAGTGAATTAGAAAGAAGTATATTTTAAAATGTTCAATCATTCATACAATATTAATGAATCCATCAACTTACTGTTTATTGATACACTGTAGTTGGAATGAAATAGATCTATTAAGGAAAATGTTTAGTCTATTTAACCACTAAAGTACAATAGTGACTACTAGTCTGTTGTTTTATGACAGTGTGTGGAACTCTTTAGTGGTGTAAATATCAGAGACCTTATTTCCTGAAATTAAAGTCAACATTCTTAAATCTTTTGTTGAACGCATTACTTTTAGACCATTGAGTTAGAATTCTGTGATTCAGTTCGATTTTTGATGAGGTTGTGTATAATGACTATTTCAGGATCTCATATTAGCAAGAAAACAATTATCCTATGCTTTCTTGAATTTTAATATTTATCTAGCTAATGGGAATGTGTGACATTAACTACTAATGATGCATTGAAAAATCTCTACAGAACATGTTCATAAGATTACAAATGATCATACATTTACACATGGAATACATTTAATTGAAATCCAATTGTTTTTGTTGGTAATATGAACTTAATTGTTACTTTAATATTGAAATTGTTGAATACGTTCAGCATTATTGATCCTATATATGATAAGTAGAGCACAGACTCCTCATAATTCGAGTATGTTAACAGTCTGATAGTTATCCTTATTGAAATCTTATATATTTCATAGGCTACTGAAAAACTGGAACTGTAAATTAAACTGTAATTATAATAATGATAAAATGAACATCTTCAAATAATGTGACTTACTCCTTGTTAGGAAATTCTTCAAATATCCAATGAAAAGTTTAAATAGTTTAAAATAACCGATAAAAGCACCTATCAGCCGTACAAAGCAAACAGTTAGATTAGAATACATAACCAAATTAAAACCAGAACTACATCAAATTAAAATGAATGAACTATATTATTATTGTTATATCTGAAGAAGATTAAACTATGGGTAACTTTTAGGAATTATTTATAGATTTTTATTATACGTATATAGTTATTGGCGGGGGTATTGTTTACGAAATTTGGAGGACGAAAGGCGAATGTCCGGCGTTTTAACTGGGTTGGTGGATATGAAGGATCCACCTAGGAGGGTTGGAAAACTGATTCCAAACTAGTGGTGCATATGGCTTCCAGGATTCTGAGGGGACAAATGGCGTATGAACCAATTATTGGTCACTGGGTACTATGAGACTGCATCTCCTTGCGCCGTTTGATTGCCTTGTGGGTCAGACCTTTAGGTCAAAGGCTCCGGGTGTGGCTTCCTAAGAAAACCATCTGCTTCGGTCTGGGCACCCGGGGAGTATCACAGCCCACACATAAATCAAATAACTTATGTAGCGCATATGTATTCGGTGCCACTTTTGTACCAATATTTATGTGTTCAAATTTATTCCCAATTTATTAGCAACAGTATCCTAAACTCACAGCCACATGTTTAGCTTGATTTTGTATAATAATTATTTTTTTTAACTTTATGGTGTGATGCGATCTGATTTGTTCAAATAGAATCCACGTATATCTGTAATATACGATTCATACAGTGAAGTTTGAGATTGTGTTCTGGACTCAATAGGAAGGGCTAGAAAAGAAGGACTAATGTGTATTCAGAGTTGTTTCAAGACTACCATTTCTCATTGATTCATCATTAGCCTAAAACAGGTACACGATCATAGAAGTCGGTATTTCGATTAGCGACTCTGTCACGTGATAATTAACAAAAGAAAAGCCATAGTTACTACCTAAATCGATTTTTAAATGAATTGAAACAATCCATCTTAAATTGTAACTTGAATACATTATGTATAATATCATCATAATAATTCGATTTGAATAATAGATTATATACAACATTTGGAAACAAAAGGAGAATCGTAATGAAACAATAAAAAGATTTGTAACTAACTTAATTGACATGATTAAAAAAAAAACAAACAAATCAAATTGATTATTTGTTGAATAGAATATATTTTCAATAAAGTTGTTGTTAAGTGTACTTCAATATAAATTTGAATGATCCTCATTTTTATTTTATTTTATATATGATTATATTGAGATTGGAACTAAATGATACACAAATAGTTTCTAAGAGAATGCAAGTATAGTTTTAAAAAAACGGATCATAAATTCAATCTTTAAACATGGAACTTTCTACTTAAAATGTTATCAAATATACAATTAGTATCCAGTGTAGTTTAGATTGACAGACAAAAGTTAATTGAAGATGTATAAGATATACAAGATAAACATGATTGCTAGTTGACAAGTACTTCATTATATTTAATATCTATTACAATGTATTCGTTATGTTATGGTCTTAAATAAGTAACTATGAAACAGATTGTATGCACATTAGAAGAGGCAAAATTTACTTTAGAACTATAGTGAGATGATATCAAACAATTTTACCAATTAAAAGTCTCTATTTGTCAGTGAATTAATTTAACTGTTCAACTGTGTCAAAACATATTCAACAGTGTTAAGTGCAAAAACGTTGAAGAGAAAAAAAGTCACACGCGAGACCGAAGGTTCTGGGTGCGAGTTACTCATGCAGGATCGTGGATGCGCCGCACTACTGAGGAGTTCCATACTAGGACGGAACAACTGTCCAGTGATTCCAGGTTTTCAATGGCAGTCTAGCTTACATCAATTCATGAATTCAACTATTACAATCTCCACAAACCTCTATTCTAATAAGAAAATATCTCAACTGTTCCCATCAGTAAACTCTACCTACAAAACCATATTGATATGGAATGATAATGTAGTATTATCTTCAAGATGAATAATTATATCTTTTACCATCCTTTTTTTTCTTTTAACAAAATAAAAAAATCGTTTTCCGATTTTCACCTTAAATCATTTACAAACAAAAAAATCTAGCCACATGTACGAATTTGGAGTTCAGTCGATTTGAAAACACTGAAAATTATTGGTTTGGGCGAATTTGAACGTTCAATATGTTGTTTGTCTTTTTCAAAAACGGTTAGTTAGTTTATTACTTTTTTCTTTTTTGTTATTTTTATTGTTATTATGACTCTACAAATGATCTATCGTTGTTATTCTAATTTCAGTGGTTGTGATCATGAGTCAGTTGAAGCTAGACCATTATGGAATACCTGGATTAGTTGAAGTTAGACATTAACACCGTTGGGTGCCGACTCAGTGGTCTAATGGTTAGGCGCTCGCGCGCGAGACTGATAGGCCCTGGGTTCTAATCTCGCGCGGGGCGGGATCGTGTATGCGCTCTGCTGAGGAGTCCCATACTAAGACGAAATGTCCGTCCAGTGCATTAAAGTTTTACGTGGTGGCCTAGCTTCAATTGACCCATGATTTCAACTGTTGAAATTAATAACATTAGTTGTTTACTGTAATTTCAATGATTTATTGGAAGGCGAAAAGTGAACTTGTTAGATGGATGCTTTTTTGGTGTTGTTTGTGATGGTTTAACTGCTAAGTTTTGATTGTTCTATGATGAATATTATCGACACTTACTTCATTCATGTAGAAGTGAGCTTACTTATTACACAAGCACTTCTATATGATTGTTACGTCATGAATCTGTCTTCTCACTAGCCTGTTTTTAATTTGTAGTCAGAAAGAGATAGTTGTTTCGATCTAGTCTATATCTTCTATGTGATAGATGACTTGGTATGATCTTGAGATTTGCAACATGTGAGTTCAATTTGTGACTGTAGGGCCTTGAGGACGGAAAGGATAGAACCATCCTACCACTGACCTAGGTTGACAAACAGAGGGAGAGTGAGAGAGAGGGAACTGTTAGACTATTTATTCCTGATTCAAACTAACTCTAAAGGCGCATTAATAAGTGGTTGACTAACAAGACCACGACACGCAAGAAATGAGAAAAATACAATCATATGCGAACTAGGATATAAGGGAATTAAGTGAGATAGCTCATTAAAAATAGCTCCAATTATTTTTCATCGTCTTTTTATTTCTCTCTTCACACCTCGACATCGCCAAGTTAGGTATATTTGCCTGATCAGTTTGGTTTTAGGTTTGGTCTAATCATAACCATCATGAATGAAATTGTTAACCAATATTTCTTCGTGTTTTCTAGGTATTACCGATTAACCAACATAGAGTGGAATAATAGATTAAGAATTCAGACATTCGCTTTTGAGCAGTTTGCAATAAGTTCGAGTACCTTTGTATTTAAACTATTTCATGATGACCTATAATATCACTAGACGACTTTACATATGGAATATGTGTCAATATTGAGTTTGATTGATAAGTTATATTATTTGGTAGAGAGAATCTGTCACGTAATCTCAGGTTTAAAACTCTCTACTACTCCTCTGATTTATCTAGTCCGATGGTATTAAATGAAATCTAATTAAGTCTAGATTACATGAACATATACCTAGTTACTAAGTTTTATCTCAGATTAATAAATTACCAAACTGATGAGTTTCAGTGACCCTATATCTGACTCCGGTTAAATCGTATGCTTATTGTTACCGAAATATACGTACCGCCGATTCTCGTATATTTTTGTCGACTTAATTCTCATTGGAGAATAACGGAATAAAATAAGCCAAATACGACAATGGATTTTGCATACATATATTACGCACACTTATTGATCCGGACAGACAATCAGGGAAGCGAAGCGAAGCGAAACGAAACGAAGTGACATACAAAGGAAAAGGCGAGTAAGCCAACTGGAATTAATCAAGCGTGACTCAATATTTATATTCAAGCAAAAATAAAGTACAGACACAATGACTAGGGTAATCACTTAACACTCATATGATCATTTAAAAAACAGTCAGGGTTAGTAAGTAAATGATCGACAAAGTCAAAAGTGGCTTGAGAAGAAGGAATGTATTGGTCTGTCCATAAGATAGAATAATAGCCTAAGTTGGCTTGACATAGTACCAGCCGCTACAGTTTTGATCTGCTTATTCAAATAGAGTTTTCATAATTCATGTGGTAAATATAGATAGTGATATGCCGTGTACTGATCAATTAATTAATGTATTTTTGTTCGGATTATAATTAATACGATTGAATTCTTGTTATAGTATTATCATCTCATAGAAAAAAAACTAAATAATTGTTAAGCAAACATGGATGATGGCTAGCACTGGAATCCAGGACGTGCGTTTCGTCTCATCGGGTTCGAGTCCCGGAGTGGACATCATCTCTGGAATTCAGGTAGATCTAGATGACGAGTTTCAAACGGGACTAAACGCGCGTCCTGGATTACACTGCTAGCCACCATCCATCTTTGGTTATAATTTTTGCAACTTAAGGCATTATCGAGGTAATCCGTAAAGGATGCACATATGCTAATAAGAGACTGATCAATTGCAGTTCTAAATATCAATAGGAAGATCCAAATAAACAACACAAAATGAATTTAAATAATTCTTATGTATCCATGATGTTACATCATTGTTTTGAAAATGCCGCATGTTTTATTAACTCGGTGGCACAGTTTTTCTTGGATACTTATTATAATGATAATGGTAATCTGCGTTTCATCTTCTCTACGTTTAATTAAAATGCATGTATATGTTAATATGACAGCGTTGACTTGAGACCGGTGATTCCATTGTTCTTGGTTTTTGATGATTTCCCAGCTGATTTCAATTCGGTGGTAAAAAGTATACTCAAATTTGACGAAATTTTGATAGTCATCCCTCCACGAAAAAATATAAGTAAATATATATCTGTTAAGAGTTAAGAGACAAGCAATGGAAACGTTTAAATTAAGTTTTCTGCTAATTGATAACTGTCCTTGATCTGTACCTATAATCTTGGAGGAGTTGTGATGCTTCGAATGACATTTGAATTCAAGTTATTTAGTATCAAAATATCAGATGTTATCATCGAGATATATTTTTTTTTATCTACATTTTTTATGTTCGAACTATTACTACTATCATTATCTGTCTGTTGGAACTTTTGTAGCTCGATGGATGGAAGGATTTTAATGTTTAACTTTAGCACTGAATTTTATAAAATACCAATCTTAGACATTGAAAAAGAAAAGACCTCGCTAGATATATGATCACTGATTGCTTTCCATTAACTTGAAACAACACTTAACTGAACAGATTGATTTTGTTGAAAATCTAATTATAAATCATTTTGCTTCTGTATGGAATAGATATGATCTGGGCTTATTCTCATGGTTTTCAATGTTCATTAGATAATGTTATATGCAGCAATTACTAGCTTTTTTTTACCATTCATTTAATAGATGAAGAATGCTTATGAAAGGGGTAATTTTCACTAAAGATCTCATTTCAAACATATAAAGTTATCTTGAACTATGTTGTGAACAATTCAATGTAACAACGTGTTGTGCCCCTATAAGAATAATAGGTGGTAATTTTTGGGATTCATATTGCCGAGGCTGAAACTGGTATTCTTGACTTAACTGGCTGGGCTAGGCGGAAAGCAGGACCAATCAGGACTCTAGACTGTCCGCACGTGTTTACGCGTCGTTGATTCGACCGATAATTCGCTGCTTTGTGATTCGCGGTATTATTACGTTATACATTAATACGGCACTAAGGCCGCAATACACCTGTATGAAAAATGTAAATACTGTCAAATATGAAATCTTTAATGAAAATAACACTCATATTGATATATTGGGACAATTATAAATCGGCTAAAAGATAAGTACAAGAAATGTCTTTCATTTTCAAGAAATGAGACATACATCATTACTGGCTGAATTTTCTTAGACAGACGTATGTTTATATAAATGAGTACACATACAAATGAATTGATTTAGTTAATAAACTTCCTTTCTCTATCTTAGTCTTTTCGTTCGAGTAGCATATTACGTATCAGTATCAACACTCGGACACCACATTTCAAAACATTTATGTACAAAACCCACCCACCGAATAAACGAAAGAATAGCCAGAAGTGATAGAAATCACATTCGTTGAGTTTGTTGCGAATAACCTCAGCCATGGACATCACCCATTACTTTATTTTCCAATAGTAACGTATTGAGTGAATAGAAATTGATGTATTGATTCAGTTTCATTTTGTGTATTATCGTTATTGGCTTGTATCTATTTATCGTTTTGTTAACCAAACTATTTACTTTTATAGGATAGCGGAGTTAAATTATGTGCAGTTGATGAAGCTACAGATCATGTAATTTCAATATGGGATTGGCAGAAAAGTCGCAAAATAACGGAGACTAAAGTAAGATACTAATTAATTACATATTTTCCAAGCTATATATGTGTATAAATATACTTCAGAGATACTCCTCATTACTTGTGTCGACGGAGGTTATGTGGAACGTTTTCAGTGTTAAATGTGTATGTTGTATCCACCAGTACCAGCCATTTATCTGTCCACTTAGTGTATGCGTTTCGCATATCAGAATATATTTTGCACTAGATATTCCATTTCAAGAAGCGAGGGTTGTTCACAACTTTTTCTAATGAATGCATCAGTTAAGCGCAGCTCAATATGAAGAATAAAAGTCATCGGTGTAATGAAAATTACGGTTCGAAATGAAACCTCTAAGGAAAACTACATTCTGATGTCTAACATTCACTTACTTAATGAACGGGAAAATGAACAAAAGTTCCGTATACAGCACACTTAATAAACAATGAAAATATCGCAGATATCCTGATCCCTTGTTATATCCCGATAAGAATAATGAATGGTAACCGTTTAAATCTATTTCTGGACTAATACAATACATATATTTTTGTCTAATAATTCTTAAGTAACTAAACTATTCATGTTCGTGTTTCTCTTATTATAAGCTTCATTTTGACGTATGAACTATTATTATACGAATTACCATTCTTAAGTTATACCCAGTCTATCAATTACTATCAATTACATTCACATCCACTTTGGCTAGATCTTGTACAAATGTTCTTTTCTATTTTATGATGCGATGTGGTCTGTTTGGTTTGTATATAAACCCAGTATCTTTGAAATACATGATTCATATCACGGACGCTGATATTTGCGTTCTGGACTCAACAAGCAAGGCTAGGTAGGAAGAAGGATCGATAAGGATTCTAGACTGCTCGTAAGGGTTTGATCCGGTCAATAAATCACTGTTCTCTAATTGGCGGTGTCACTACGTTATATATTAATAGTGCACAAAACCACAAGTTATAACACTTTATCCCTACTAAATGTCTGAGTGTTAAATGTCCCACTTTTCAAGGTAAATCAAGAATGTATTTGACTCATATAGTTAGAGACCTGCTACTTAGTCCACATTTCTATTCTGATAAACAGTCAAATTTTGTTTTAGAAAACGAAGTTAATTTACTTTGTATTTGTGAATAAGATTCATCACCCACTAGTCTACTTGAGGTCTTAAAACTTAGAAGATTAGTTGTACTTCCTAACAGTATGCGGTATGTATGATTTCCTGTTGCAAGTTATTACAAATCTTTAAATTGCATATATATACGTACTTGATTTTTATTTATTTTGCTTTGTTACGACCTACTATACTGTACTTACAAGTGTACACATTCGCATGTTTAAATTCACCGTCATTTACATATTTTCATAGGAATTTGGTTGTTTGTGTATATAACTACCAGGGCAGTCCTACTCACAGCCTTCTCGCGTTGAGGGTTTTGTTTAACGAAATTGAGAAGACGTAAAGGTAATGTAAGGCACCTTAACAGGGTTGGTGCGTACGGAGGATCCACCTGATGAAATTGGAAAACCCTGATTTCAAACCAATGGTGCATATGGGTTTCAGAATTATATGGGAACAAATGACATATGAACCTATTGTTGGTCACCGGCTGCCATGGGACTAGATCTTCTAATGTTGCTCCACTGCCTTATGTATCAGACCTCTGGATGAGCTGTCTGGAGAGTGGTCATTTAAGGAAACCACCTGCTTTGGTCTGGGTACCCGGGCAGTACTCCAACCTTCACACACAAATCGAGTGATGAAGTGTGGTGCATATATATTTGGTGCCTTGTGTACTGATGTTTATGTGTTTAAGTAGTAATAAATATAACTGTTTTATAATAATAATAGTAATAATAATAATATGAGTATGAATATGAATATGGATGGGAATATGAATACAATTGAGTTAAAATCCAATTCAATGAAAAAAATTAGTGTCATAATTAAACTTTAAGACTCGCCTAGTACAAAATTTACTTTGAACTTATAATCTAAATTAATATCTTGCATAAAGGGTTGTTTATTTCTTTAAAAAATATTAATAATTATAACAAAAATTGGGCGTGAATCATATATCCACCAGTTATAAAATCGGACAATGTTATTCTCTTCTATGAATTGATTATAAATATATATGCCAGTGCAATCCTCTAACTCAATAATTTCAAGGCAACACGTTTGCTGGGTAACTTGATTGTTCTCCAGTCGATCTTTTGGGGTGTCATAGGCGTGCATTGTTAAGTCCTTTGTTAAGATAAAACAACTATCCAGTGTTTCACCTGTTTCTCGATACTTCCTTCAGTTAATATCAATTTGTAACTCATCAAGTACATATTCGTGTGCTCGGCTTTGAGCTCGACTTTATATCTGAGGGTTAATGATACTATTCGGTTAACAAGATCGAAGTTAACTGGTACTCGAACTTGGAACCTTTTGGTTACGAGTTGAATCCCTGTACTATTAAGTCGCTGCTCCATATCGATTCCTCCATCTATGTCTGTCTGTCTGTTTCTCTCTCTCTCTCTCTCTCTCTCTCTCTATATATATATATATATATATATATATATATATATATATATATATAGCATTCTACTTATTCTCACAACCCCCTCTCTTCATCACTCCATCTTACTGGCCACACATTTAGCAACCTCTAATCATTTTACAATACCATTAGAAATTATTTTTGTTTTTACTATCCATTGAGATTAGTATTGATTAGTTTTCATTTTTTAAAATACCAGTACGGGTTATATTTATACAACAGTGGGCAAAATATAATATCCTTCAATACTTTGCTTGTTCTTTCCACTGTGAAATAAACATTTTTGTTGGAAAAATTTCTGTACAAAATGTTGTTAGTTCATAAGGTTCTGTTGTGAATTATTACCAAGTAATTTTATGTGTTGAAGTGATGAATGATTAAAACTTCTGTTAAATTTCATGGTAGTCTCCTAGATAGGTGACTCTAGGTAGGTCGATAACCAGTAAAAAATATACTGGTTGTATTGAAAAGCAGTTCATTCTAGTTTAAGATGGTTTATTTATTATCGACCCACAATAAAGTAATACTCGGAGTGAGGTATGGTATGTGCTTTGCACCTTCGAAGTGCGAAGTTCTTCTACAAGACTGGCAGGATTCTAATCCTGTACTCACCCTGGATGGTGAGCAGATAGAAGTAGTCGAGAAGTTCGTGTATCTGGGTAGCTGCATAAGTGCTGGTTGTGGCGTGAGTGATGAGATCAATGCACGTATAGTGAAAGCCAGAGCGGCTTATTCCAATCTGGGCCATCTTTGACGCCTTCGTGATGTTAGTCTGGCTGTAAAAGGTCGGATCTACAACGCGTTGGTGAGAGCAGTTTCGCTCTATGCTTGTGAAACCTGGCCTCTCCGAGTTGAGGATGCTAGACGACTCTCTGTGTTCGATCATCGCTGTCTCCAAAGGATTGCTGACATCCAGTGGCAACACCATGTTAGTAATGCAGAGGTTCGACATCGTGTGTTCGAGCGCAGAGACGATAATGAAATTGGTGTCACCATCTTGAAACACCGACTTCGGTGGCTTGGACATGTTCTACGAATGTCATCCCAGAGAATTCCTCGTCGTGCATTATTTGCCGACTCTGGGACTGGTTGGAAAAAGCGGAGAGGTGGTCAGTATATGACATGGTGTCGTGGTATGAATGAAAGCTGAAGAAGGCTGGCTTGTGTTGGTCCTTCACGACTCCCTGGCTGGGGTCCGAGAGATCGTGTAACACAGTGGCTAGAGACGTCAGATACGGCTCAGAATGAAAGCCAGTAGCTATTCTGCTGTAACCTTTTACTTTCTTCATAAAAAAGTGGTCGTATCTTTCTTAACTGGAAGAATTCCTTCTGGTTGTACCTTTCCGTTTCCCCCATTATTTTTATTACTACTACACTACCTTACACTAATCTGGTCGTTATTGTTCTTTTTTTACGCTCTTTACCCTCCTTTCTTTTTTTCTTCCCTTCTCTTTAAATTCTCATTGTTTTGTGTGGCGCATATATATTTTATGCTACCTTGTACCAATATTTATGTGTTCAAATAAATTAATAAAACTAGGTGTGAGGATAACACAGAGTCTGTATTTTTTTCGTTTTTAATTCTAATTTAACAGCACCAAATCTCGTAAATTATAAAAAGTTTCCTTTTTTTTGTCCATTCATTTATGACATGTGATGCTGCGACGTTTCACATGTCAACGCAGATTTTCATTTCAGTAACGAAATGATTAATAAACGAATAGAAATATCAGTAGTAGTAGTATTTGTAATTATCAGATATACTAAGTATTGTAACTGAATTAAAATATGACTATGTATAGAAGAATCCTGGAAAGTGAAAGGTTTTAATTTAAGCTTTTTCGTATCGGTTTTTGATTTTAATAAATATTTTAGTTGAATGTTGTACGTATCTTAATTTTCTCAAATTCATGATTATTTTGTTTATCACTTGTTTTGAATTAGGAATTCTTATAACTTTAATCGTTTAGTAATAATAGTAGTGTACCCTACTTCTATTTTTCTCTTGTATTGCTACATCACATTGTAGTGTTTATTCATTACCTTAATCTTAAATAACATAGAGGTGATCATATCTGAAGTGCAACAATGAACATTTATGGTTGATCAAATACATCACATTGTACTTGATCATTGATCTCCATAATATTAAAACTAAAAAAAACTTTACATCGAGCGTTCATGCACGAGACCGAAGGCCCTGTGTTCGAATCCTACCAGCGGGAATCCCACAACAAGACGAAACGGCCGTCCAATACTTTCAGGTTTCCAATGGTGGTCTAACATCAGTCAGTTTAGAATCTAAGTCAAATACTTGCTAATCTCCACAACCCTATACTGTGATCACTACATTGAACAGTCTAAACGATGTTCCATTTTCCATATTAATATATTCTTACTTACTTTGATTCTTTCTAACTATTCATCATTAAAATAATGTTAGACTTCATCTACATGTATCATCTCATTAATATGCATAATAATTTACAAATTCATTAGTCTTATAAAGTAGTGACCTACATATATCATGTAGTGTTTTTGTTTGAAATCATAATCATAATAATAATAATTGAAAATATCATTGTAGTTCAAACTGATTATTTATCAAAGTGTATTCCTTCTCCAATGTCACAAGATTTGGCTTTGTTTACTTACAAAGGCTAAGCATACGATGAAGCAACAATTTGACCTGACTTTCAGTATATATATATATATAGGCTAATCATTAACATGATGTAATATTTTCTTAAGGACACACACACACACACACAAAATAAACAGTGCATATTTTATGATTACTAGTTCTATAGATATTAGACAACTGACTTTTTTATGATATTCGTCTATTTTGTTTTTGGATCTCGTCATTTTTCATCTGAATTCTTCTAGGTTATTCTTGTGCTTGTCTTTTTTTTTTCTTCTAATTACTATACATTTTAATGAATATATATGAAATATTCTAGTAATGAATAAGATTTAAAATAACCGAGACAAATTTTCATTTATTCTTTTTAGCCAATTAAAAAGTAACTTTTGTAAATGAAAAGTGAAAATATTAACATTACAAAGTGTTAATAGAGATCTAATATAATTAATGAATGTATTAATGTTTTGGACAGATTTATCTATCTGTAAATTGAATAATCTACGACTTATGAATTGGTTTATAACAGTATAGATTATCCGTTTCTTTAAGTTTTTATGATGAAGTGATTCGGCACACATTGGTCTTGGTTAGAGTTAGGTATTTAGGGTGGTGGTGTTTAGGATTATGATCTTCATCACAAACTGACATCGACTATAGTACGAAAAATGCTTTATAACAAATAGATGAATGAATTTTGCCTGAAAATGTTAAAGATAGAATCTAATAGGTTTTTCTTTAAAATTAATGCCAACGGATTGAGGTTCATTTCAAGAAATGAGGATGTTTAGGTTTAGGCATTTAGGATTATGTGGATTTGCTTGTTATATACAATTTACAGTAAATGAATGGAGCAATCGATACGTTTGATAGTATTATTTTTACTGTATAGTAGCAAAAAATAATTTATCCCTCTCATTTTAAACGTCTTAAGCAGTGTACTCAGTAACTATGGTTATGTTTTCGTTCATTTAGTCACTCAATTTTAGATATTTCAGAATAATGTCTTTTGAATGTATGACTTTTGTTATGTTGTAATTTTTCCTCCATCAAGTGAGCTACACTTGACACGTCCGTCGCATAATGGATTAGTATTTTCGTTATAGAAAACTTTGCATTTTTCATGTAAGCCATCAAAATAATAAAGAATCAAACACTCTCCATCATGAATGACGTTAGTATAAATAATAATTCCCGTCTCATTTTGGTTGGTTGCCCAGTGCGTGGTAAAAGTTTCGAACGAGAGTACAGTTTTTTATCATCCTTTTAGTTTCTCTCTTAAATTGAATTGTTGCACTTTTGATTGTGAATAGCCTGTCCCTATACTATACTTTTACTATTATTCTTGTTGTTAGTGATCATTTCTGACTCTTTTTTTGGCTTTTCATAGTTAGATATTAAATATTTTTAGTAAACATTGCTCAAATAATTTTTTTCTTTCCGAAATCAATTATGTAAATCTAATATCTTTTTGTACAAGTGAACTTTTGACACTAACTTTTAACCATTTTCTAGTAGCTGAATGACTTTTTAGTTTCTTTAGAAGTCTCCTACAATTGAATCATAAATAACAGACAAAATTAAAAAAAAAGACGTTTTACATCTGAAATTAGTCTACATGTAAAGGGCACAAAAAATAATACAGTGGCAGGTCATAATGAATTCACCTTAACCAAGAATAATTTGATATTGACATATTCAAACGTATTATGATTTTGATTGTACTAAAAATATTCTGTATTTTTTCTTCCGTATTATTTAAATTTGTATTATATATTTACTCTGAAGAAGTGGCTTACATTAAGTCACGAAACATCGTCAGAAATACAATTTTTCTACTTATTGAGATATGTATGTATGTATTGCTTTTCATTGAAATAAAATGTATTATTTTGTATTGTTAGTAAAATTTATTGTTTAAACGATATCTCTTTTCTTTTTTCTTTTTACTTCTCAGTGCTCCACAGAACCAATAACAGCTGTTGAATTTCATCCATTAGATGATGCAACCCTTGTAACTGGTGGTAAAGGTCATTTAGCATTTTGGACATTCGATGGATGTACACTAAGTAAAAAGATGGGAATATTTGAAGTAAGTAAAAAGGCCACAATAAGAAAATTATGCTTGTTTATTTTAATGAATAGTTATTTAAATAAAGTTCTTTTTTGAATTCTCTTGAAAAGAGCGAAATTAAACACATAACAGTACCTATGTCACATATTGTGAAGACTGAATAGATCATATTTCTCAAGTCCACCAGTCGGCGAGGTGTACAAACGAAGCATATCACCGGAGTAAGTAAATTTATCACTAAACCTAGGTTGAGATGTGTGCACGATTATTCGATTTTATCAGTTTCTCATTAGAATAATGGAGTCTGGTCAACCGTAGTAGAATTTTTACTGGATCAGCATACAAAATGATTTAATTCAACTAGTTTTCTCTAGTGATATAAATTTCTTCTTTTCTTTTAAATAAAGGCTGGTCCTGGTATGGAAATAAGTCCTTTAATGTTTGGTCATTCTGAAGAATTTTGGAGTCTTGCTAACATCCACAAGCTCATCAATTTTTAACTGGTGGACGTGATCATTTAGTTATTCTATGGGATTCATTATCAAAACAAGCTATATGGTCAAAAGAATTCACTGATGCTATACATTGTGCTGCATTCTATCCACTTCAATCACATTTAATAACAAATGGGACTATGAGTCCAGTTAATAATGATAATAATATAATTGATGAAACAAATAATTTAGATTTTAATGTATCAATGATGAATTCACATGATTTATTAGTAGTATTAGGCACAAGTACAGGACGTTGGTTAGTATTCAATTGTTTAAAACAAGAAATAATTGCTGCGCATTCTGATGGACTTGGTGAACAGATCGAATGTGTTGCATATTCACCTGGTATGTTGTTATTATTGTTTTCTTTCTTTTGTTCTCATATGTATTCATTTATGCATACTTGTTTGTTAAACTTATAATTTAATTGTTAACTCTGTTTCTGTCAACATTACATAGTAGTAACAGATGTCACGTTTATCTAGTTCTTTGATCAATAGTGATCGAATTCCATCAATCAGTTTGCTCGTGGTTACCCGTCTAAATGACTTGACATCACATTCACTATGTCGGCGAGAAACTTGACAGACTGTCTTCTTCAACCTCATGTTTTCTTCCGTTGAAATCATGAGTCAATGTAAATTAGACCAGCATTGATAACCTGGAAGCAATAAAATGCCGTTTCGTCCTAGTATGGGACTCCTCGATAGTGTGCATCCACCATCCTGAGTGCGGGACTCGGATCCAGGACTTCCTGTCTCGTTCGAGAACGCTTAGCCTCTAGACCACTGATCCGGCATACAAACGTGTTAATGTCTAATATTAGTCAATCAATGATATTGCGCGATCATCTTCCATTTGTCTTCTGTGGTCAACTGCTTCATCCCCATCAATTTTCATTCTTGCTAGATACTAAAACCTTTACTGATGTTTAAAATGACTTTGATACGATGAAGTTAATCTTATAAAATAATCAGAATGCGAGTAGTAATTCAGACGAATAATTTATTTCATAAAAATCCAGATATCTTTTAGTCCTCAGTTCTAAGAACAAACATAGAATTACCCTGAATAATTTAAAAATATTCAGATGTTGTATACATTTGGATTCGATTTATTTTCTCATTTCCTGATCTTTATCTCTATAATTCGTCAATTTCATTCTCATTCCTTCTCTTAGATTTTAGATATTTTTTTTTCTCTCACTTTATTATCGATAGTTTTTACTTATTTCTTACTTACCTCTTGATAGGATAGAAACTACCGATTATTGCGTGATAATATTATAAATCACAAATAAATGACCGGTATCTATCACTGACAAACTTGATAAGAATGAATTAATACATGTTAACTTCAATTACCTTATGTGTATAGTAAACCCTGATTATTCGCTAAATGAACTGCCAACAACAACTGAAAATTTTAAGAGAATAAAGATGTCAGTTCTATTGATTATGATGGTATATTGTGAAATGGATTGATTTGTATAAACAAAAGTTGAGTTATACTTGAAAAGTGGGCATGAGCGATGTGAATTGTAGAGAAGACTGGAGTATCAAGTTTAGAATGCACACTGATATCTTTATTTGATATCTATTGCTGGAGATTATGGTTGTAGTGTTGTATTTTTGTTGTCTTACAATGGAGTCCATCACAGAACATATTTGTATTATAATAAACTCACGTCATTTTTAACAGAAATTGCTGTAGCTCAAACCGAATTAAACCACAAAATATCATCTACCAGTCCATAAGCGTATTGAGTATTGAATCGAGCCTTTGTGAGTTGAGTTCAGACTAGATGATTGGGACCCATGCAGGACATATCTTGACTGATAAACGGGTGTACAAGTTCATTCTATCAGTCGTTAGTGTTATTTCTCTCTAAAGTGTATATTCCAGCAAAATTTAATTAAAATATACTATGAGTGGTGTCATTAGATTTAGTTATACATACATCTCTACGTTGAAAGTTGTTATCTTATATGTGTGTTCTAACTAAATAGATTCTAGGTATGCTCACTCATGAACAAGTTAATTTTGTATCATATTTTAACTACAGGAAATTATCGTCAGTTTCAGTGTTTTCTCATGTAATTGGTTATACAAGGTCTTTCAATAAAAGACCTAACATCAGTGGTTTTACTCTTACATCTGAATGATCATTGATTAAAGAATCACACTGTGCTTATATAATCTTTAAGGTTAATTGAATTCTATCAATTGAGTTGTAATGTAAATACTAACCGAATTGACTTGCGTGCATTGTATGCATTGTTTTATTCAATGTTTTCAACATTTCATGGTAGCTGACAGAAAACCCTCCTTGGCTTAGATTCTATATAGTTGTCACTCATCTGAAAGTCATATAGGTAATTTTTCTCCGTGCAGAATTTCATCCTGTGTTATTCAACTTGATCGATAGGACTCGATCTGTACTAAAGAACTATGAAAATGTAATATTAGTTGCTACTTAGTGATTAGTCACTTTTAGTAAATGAATTGTATAAAGTAAGAAAAAACAAACTCTAGAAAATAAATACTAATAACCATGTACTTTTGTCTATACAAACTTATAATTTGATAGTAATAGTAATAGTAGTATATTCATACACTAGTTTTATATATAGTTTCATTAGTTTTAAGACTAAAATAAGAAAGAAACTGTCAGTTGGGAAAGGTATCTAAAGTACACATACTTATTTGTTAAATGTTTTGTTTTTGTAAATACCCCCCCCACCTTATTTGCTTTTATCCATTACAAAATAACATCATTGTAAGAAGGAAGGTGGTAAACATTATTTTCACTATGACTTCATTGGTGTGTTGATGATGAATTATCTATTAATACATTTAACTTGTTGACTTCTTTTTAAAGTTGAGAGAAAATAATAAAAAATGAATTTTTCAGTAAGGTTGTTTATATGGATTGCTGAATGCTATCGAGATCACGAATCAACTTGAGTAAAATAATCATTGTGAACCAAGATGTATTGAAGGGATATTTCGTTGTAGGTACGGGACTCCTTATATGTGTACATCCTTCACGGGGAGTCGAACTCAGGATCTTCGATCTCGCAAGGGTATACCCAACCTCTAAACCATTGAGTCTTAATTCATTAGTTTACAAGTCTAACTACGATTAGTTAGCAACATTGCGCAACCATCCTCTTAATCTCAATAAAGTTGATCGACCTCTACAAAGCCATTTACTGAAAAGTATCGTCTGCTCGTTGGTTAGTGTAGATCCGTGATCAGCGGAGTTCAACCATGTCAGATATGAGACAGGTACCAACCAAAAGTGATTGCTCAACATTTCATATTGATTAAAGTTATACATGTAAGCCATTAGATGTTGACTGATTGATCTAGAAGTTAAGCGCTGCCACTCGGAACCCATGGTTCTTATTTTGATCCTCTGTTGTAATGTCTTGAGCCCTCATTGATGAGCAGTCCCACACTAGAGCAAAACAACTGCCCAGTGCTTTTTGATTTTCAATGGTTGGATCGTGATCTCAGTAAAGTAATCTTTGTTTCATTTTCAATAATTTTTTAAAATTCATTTTTAATAGTCTATTTTTACTCACAGAGTTTCGTTTTCTTCGATTTCCATTACACGTTCTGCTTTTTCGTCCCTATTTCTTTTTTTCTCTCCAGATGGAAACTACTTAGCTCTTGGTTCACGAGATAATGTTATTTATGTATATAATGTGTTAGAACGTGGCTACAAATACAATCGTGTTGGACGTTGTTGCGGTCATTCTAGTTTTATCCTACATATTGACTGGTCTGTAGATGGTCGATTTTTACGTTCTGTATCAGGAGATTATGAAATACTGTTTTGGACTGCATTTGATTGTAGACAAGTAAGTGTGTATGTTACATTCCTTTTTAATTTGGTCAAACATATCATTTAATCTATTTTTAGTTTTTACGTCATTGTATTCGATAATGGATGAATTTTCAGCCAGTGCACTACAAATGGCTAGTAAATTTTACAGAATTAGTCTGTTGAAGTCTTCGGCTAAAATAAACATCTCTATTGGTCTAAGTTATCTGTGTTCTCTAACCCTTTGAAAGGTAAAAAAAACATTTTTACAGAACCTCATAGTTTCTGGTTTGGATGTTGATGTAGAGCATTTATCATACACTGATTACAGGGAAAACGTACGTCACTATCGATAACTTCCGAGTGTCATTTCAAGGTATACTTGTACCTGAACGTTTTGTTACATTTAATGAAATGAAAATCCACTCCTTGATTAAAACGTTTTAAGTAGTATACAAAGTTGCTGCTGATTTTTTCATGTTCAAAATCTTAAAACGCATTTTTTTCGGTAGTGATTGTCTCGTAATTTTGACCTTGCACCTGACAACCAACCAAAATGGAGCGCGTATTTATTATTCGCATTATCGTAATCCGTGATAGAGGGCGTTTCGTTTTTGGTCATTTTTGAAGTTTCGTACAACGAAAATATCACTTCATCTTGCTATGAACGTGTCAAGTGTAGCTCACTCGGTTGTGATGAAATAAAAATTCAAACATAACGAAAGACTTAGGTATAATTAATTTCGTAATGGAAATTATTCCAAAAATATCTACAATTGAGTGACTAAATGAGCGAAAACATAACCGTAACTACTAACTACTATACACTCAGATGGCTTGATAACATTGAGTTTATTCCCAGTCTAATTCTAACCCTAAACTTTTTTTCTTTAAAGCGTTTATCTAATTAATTATTCATTCCTATAATCTACATTCCGATTGGCTTTATGTTATGAAAGGTCATTTTTAGCGCCAGTGAAAATCCTCATTAAAGTATACTTTTAAGTGGTTGTATATAAATAACTTATTTATGTTTTTTTGTCACGGCATAATGCATTCCTATCGGTTATGAGTAACAAAAGTCTATTAACAAGTGACCTGTTCTATTTATTATTATATTTTGAAATGAATTAAAGAGTGCTTATTTGTTATTGCACATTGTATAGTTAACTAGTGGTCAGTTGAAGTTGAGTTATGCCTTAATCGTTCTGTTGTGATTTTTACGGTTTGATGATATCATCCATGTTTAAACTTCTAGTGTTACTTAAAGCCAAGTAAGACTGCATAATTCTCCAAATAAAATTATAATAACTCAAGACATATGATTTAACGAATACAAGTCTTATCAACAAAGATATGTTGTATCTAGCAGTGGAATACAGGATGCGCGTTTCGTTCTATTTACGAGTCGTCAGGTGGACGTGCCTGCATCGTAAAGTTGATGTTCATTACAGAACTCGAACTCAGTGCCATTCCTTTCATCACCTCTGCTTATAATTCTTGTGACTTAAAGCATTATATCGAGGCATTCCGCTTAGGATACACATATGCCAATAGGAGATTGATCAATTACAGTCCTAAACATCAATGGGAAGATTCAATCAACCAATACATGAATGAATTCAAGTTTGTTGTAATAATGCATTTATTTCTCAATGTTTATTGTTTCAGTCAAACTTTGTTAGTAAGCAATTTAAGTAAGTTAAAGTTGAAACGAAAGTCAGAAAAGTATCAGTACATTTATAATTTATACCCTATAAAGTTCTAGATTCTTCCCCTCTCAGCCTCTAACTCTAAATAACTGGAAACGAGTCAACAAGCTGTAGCTCCCCCCAAATGAACCCTTTAAGTATGCAAGAAAAGAACAATTCAGTTAGCGACTTTGTACGTTTCTTTTGTCACTGACGCAATAGTGTTCTCAACTAACAAAATATACTACACTAATAAATGAGTATAAGTAAAAGCTTTATATCATAGTTCACCTGATATAAAATTAATGAGACTAATTTTATGTAATCAAATTAATGTAAACAATAAAAGATTAATTTGATTGTTTCAAATCTAGCTAACCATAAATACGTAGTGTATGCTACTTATGTTGGCAGATATAAGTAGTATTGTAATGAACGAATGCTCAAGTGGAGACAACCAATTGTATCTCAACACAAATTTACAGAGGATCTTAGTGTAATATATGAACTATACCTTGAATACTTCATTCGAGAATTTCCGTTGTTTATCCTTCACATTCTGTATGATTTATCAAGTTCATAGTTCATTTTTATTTTCCCTTATATTCGCTTCAACTCGATCTTCTTAGTTTTCTGTTTCCAGGTTTTCCACTTCCGGTTGGTATTGCATACTACTTGTATCGACAGATATGAATAGCATACACCATAGTATGTAACACCAATGGGAAGTGGATTGCCTTTCAGCAGAAGATTGAGAATCCACAATTGTAGAGAACGGAAAGGGAAAAAGAAATAAATCATAATAACAACAGAATTGTAAGAATCATAAAGCATGTAAAGGAAAATATGCAAATTATGTATTTAATGTATGCCTATAATTATTTTACGAAATTACTCTTTAATTTTGCGTTAAATAATAAATTGGTCTTTCCAATTAGACTACTTCGTCCACCTGTATACAGCCACTATCAGAGAAGTCCTACCCACTGCCTTCTCACAGCATTACTGTTGTTTACAAAATTCAGAGAACGAAAAGCGAATGCCTGGCGCCTTAACCGGGTTTGTGGATATGGAGGATCCACCTAGAAGAGTTGGAAAACACTAATTCCAAGTCAATGGTGTACATGGGCTACGGGATCCTGAAGGAACATATGATGTATGAACCTATTGTTGGTCACCGGCTACTATGAGAGTAGATCTCCTAACGTTGTTTCACTGTCATGTGGATTAGACCTCTGTCTGAAAGATCCGTGAAGTGGTCTTTTAAGAAAATCACCTTCGGTTTGAGAACCCGTAGAGTATTCCAGCCCTCACACAAATCGAATGATTTGTTTAACATACATATATTTGCTGCCACCTTGACTAATATCCATGAATTACGATAAAACATATAAATATTTACCAGCACATCTTTGACTAATAGTAATGACTCCATTAGCTTATATTTCGTCTTGATATGACTGCCCTGTAACTTTCTTCCCACTCATATACATATATATTTTTCTCTTAATATATCGAGATAATGTAACTAAATTGATTTCATAGACCAAGAGATCTGTTTTTTAGTATCAGAAGTGATTTTGTGGATATTATAGTAACTTTAATAGTTGAGATCATGAGTTAATTGAAGCTAGACCATCATGGAATACCTGAATGCACTGGACGGCCGTTTCGTTTTATTTTGGGACTCCTCAGCAGTGCGCATCCACGATCTCACCTCGCGAGACTCGAACCCAGGACCCATCAGTCTCGTGGTGGACGTGTCGTTCAATTCCATGGATTGGTTGAAGTTAGACATTCACACCATTAGATGCCAATTCAGTGGTCTAGTGGTTTAGCGCTCGCCCGCGAGACTGATAGTTCCTGGGTTCGAGTCGGGATCGTGGATGCGCATTGTTGTGGAGTCTCACAATAGGACGAAACGACTATCCAGTGCTCGCAGATCTGTTTTTGTTAATTTGTCTGGTTTTTCATTAAGTTTTTCTCTAAGGTTATTTAATAATTAATAAGATGTTCACATCACAAATTTCTTCCTTTAATTTAATAATTGTGGATATATTTTTATCTCTAAATTTTAAGGTTGTCTCACCTAGTACACTACGTGATTTAGAATGGGCTAGTCAAACATGTACACTTGGTTGGGAAGTAGCTGGAATTTGGCCATCTGATTCAGATGGTACTGATGTTAATGCTTGTGATCATAGTCCAACTGCTGATATTTTAGCTACTGGTGATGATTATGGAAAAGTTAAACTATTCAAATATCCAACTATTAAACCAAAGGTAAGATTTTTATTTTAAATACTAATTGTATATTTGGTTCTTTGTTTTTGTATAAAAAATTCTGATTTGAAAGGAAGTACACGTTGGATAGATAGGTAAATAAATTTGAGGTTAGACATTAACACTGTCGGATGCCGGCTCAGTGGTCTAGTAGGTTAAGCGTCCGCGTGCGAGACTGAAGGCTCTGGGTTAGAATCTCGTGGGGAGCGGGATCGTGGATGCTCACTGCTGAGGAGTCTCAAAATAGGACGAGACGGCCGTCCAGTGCTTCCGGGTTTCCAATGGTGGTCTAACACCAGTCGGTTCATGATCTCAATCAAAAATTGAATTTGAACTGGATAACATTAGATGAACTCGTGATATTGTCTTGTGTACTGAAAAATTTAATATAATTGAGTTCCAGAAATATTTTAGAAAGAAATAAGCTATGTGACTTGTAAACATTAAAAAAAACTGCTCTTATTCAAGAAGAACTGATAATGAATACTTGAAGTTGATCATATGTGATATGGATTGTGTATCCTAATGTTATGAAAGTATAACTTTGAACAAAGCAACTATTAAGTTTACTCTAACTGTTGATGATAGTTGTTTAGTTAATATTAGTCTGTCAAAAAAAATATCACCTTTAATATTTATAACATGAATTAAGTCAATTTAAAATGAGCTATACATATTACATTACTGATAAGTCTTACTAATTGTACGCTATGTTCGGTTCCTAATCTATTCTTGTAACCCCCAAGCTAGAACTACACAGCGACCTGAGCACGAGAGAAAAGACACAAATATATTCGAGAAGCACTTTACTCCAAAAGTTCGTTTTAGTACAGAAAATATAGTATTTTAAATGTCCTTAGGTTTCCAGAAAATTCTGGAATGCTACTAAAGAAAGCAGTGTAGTAATCAGCCAATCAGAAACTGTACATGTGACTTTTCAGTTTCTTGATGTTTCTGTCCAAACTTCTACTGAACGCTGATCGGATAAAAGCTTCTTAGTGTTTCGTGAGCCTTTCTTATCTTTTGCGAGAAGTTTTCTGGATAACCCCAACAATTACAATTAACTTACATATGATTCAGAGGAAATGTTATAAAAATTAGGGACAAGATTCACATTTCACAATTTCACATTTAATACGATTCTAGATAAATCATTTGGTCTAAATACTAGTTGACTGGATTGGATACTAGATCAGCGGATCATGATACTTGATTTTATGTATGTGCGATCAAGAACCAGACGGAATCTAGAACGGCAATTTATTAATACTTTACAAAACGTCCAATAAATGTAATGAAAGTAAGAAAATACGGAATGAGTCCTACAGATAAATGACAGTCTTTTGTATTTCATGTAAACAGATATATCCATCTTTGCTCACTGGTTAATCATGACTTACTTTTTAGCTAGTAAATCAGAAAACTACCATAATGTGTTCGGTGGTCTTGTTTTGATTGTGATTCAGAGTTTTCTCGTCGTTTCAATCTTCATCCAGTTGAAATGGTACCAAATAACAAGAGCCCATGTGCACCATTAGTATTGCTCTGTAATCAGGGTTTCTTTTTTAACTCACCTAGGTAGATACTGAGTACCCAAGAACCCTGTTTAAGCTAACATAATTGTGTCATCTTAATTGTTTTCAACTTGTTAACAATAGGGTATATGATCAAGATTCTATATAGGATTGAATTTGAGGATATTTAAATCTTCTGATGAATCAAATTTTCTTAAATAACAGGATTAAAGTTAGTTCATTGAGTCGTTGTTTGTTGGATCAGATCATTTTGATAGATGTAGTCTATCAGGTTAGAGTCGTCCACGTAAATATCGTAAACATTGGTTAGAAACAATGTATAATATAACTTAGAATCTTATTTTATTTTTGTTTATATATATGCACCACACAAATCATTCGATTTGTGTGAGGGCTGGGATAATCTACGGGTGCCCAAACTGAAGCTGGTGGTTTTCTTAGCAGACCACTCCTCGGGCCTTTCATCTAGAGGCTTAATCCACAAGGAAGTGGAACAATGTTAGGAGACGTAGTCTCATGGTAGCCGATTACTAACGATAGGTTCATATGTCATTTCTTCCTTCAGGATCCTGTAGTTCATGTACACCATAGGTTTGCAATCAGTGTTTTCCAACTCTTCTAGGTGGATCCTCTACATCCACCAACAACAGTATTGCCTTTTGTGACTGTATACGGGAAGTGAGAGTGTTTTGAGAGAGAGAGAATTTTCCCCACCCTCGACCGTATCAGGTCATTTGAGTGTTCTAGTTTGTCTTAATGCATTCACCATATCTTCTTGTAGGTCATGATTTCTAAAGTTTCCTATTCTACGAATTCGTTCTTTCTTCTCGAATAAAAAATTGTTGATCTCTAATCTTGGTATTCCTCTTGATGTGTTTTATGGTGCCAGAACTCGGACTATTTTACGTATATATGTGCCAGATCCTATGTTGCTCAAGATTGACTGACTGAACTGAAGCCCATCATTTCGTATTTCCAAATTTTGTATTTTCAAAATATAGTTAACATTATAGATCAAAATGATTTACACCTTAAACTGGAAAGAAACTGTCTCAAATCTTATCATTGGTTAAGTATTGTTGGTTGTCTTGGTAAAAATCAAAGTAATAATAATAATATTTATTTATTTTTTTAGAACAGTAACGAGTAACAAGTCATGTTCACCATTGTCGTTTAAGTAACCGTTTTTTACTTTGAGAACTAGTGGTACTTCTATTACCTAAACTTCCAGACTGTGAAGTAATTGGATGTTTTGTCGTTTATTTCTGCACTTTAATAACTACTCAATATCAAGTTGTGTAATTACTTGATCAAATTGTTTTGCCTATTCAATAATTTATTTATGATATGCGTGACTGCATACATATTTACTTTTCACTTGAAATTATAAGAAAGTATTGTTTTGATACTGGTTATTTAATCGATTCTTGATTGTGTTATCCTATGGTATCTGGTGATCAAGAATAGCGTCATACTTCCTTTGTTTCCTCAGAATCCCAGAGCTCATATTCACCATTGGTATTGGTTGATAAACAGGGTTTTCCAACTCCTCTTAGTGTATACTACGTACCCACAAACCCTGTTTAAGCACCGTAAATTCACTTTCTGTTTTCTCATTTTCGTAAACAACAGTCATTCTGCGAGGAAGCAGTACGTAGAACTTCCTTGTGAGTGACTATATACACGTTGTCAAATAAGAGGATTTCTATAGGGATATTTAACCTTACTCACCATCGCTATACCTGGGTACTTTGATTATTCACACATTGAAGTAGTTGTAAATTTGTTTCAAACTTCCATTTGTTTAACCACTAAATACGTAGGTTTAATTTTAAAAAAAAGAATAGAAACCATAAATAAGTTCATATTAATCACCTTCATTAATACATCAATTCTCTTTATCATTCTATATTTCAGGCTGAATTTCATGCTTATAATGGTCATTCAAGTCATGTGACAAATGTAACATTTTTATATGATGGATCTAGATTAATATCTACTGGGGGCAAAGATACAGCTGTATTACAATGGGAAGTATGCATTTGATACATGATACTATGTGATAAATACATATTCATTCATTTAATCATTTACTTCTTCAATACTGTTCATAGTTATTATTGTCTTTTTCTATTCATACTCACCATATCATCATTTACAACTCAATTATACGCTTGAAGGGTAATAAAATAAAGAGTATTCGACAGTTGTCTGTACGGTTTTCTGATACCTTCAAATTTAAATGTATTTGTCACAATCATTCATTTCTTCATAAAGTTTGATCATGTATGTGTGCAATACATTTACAATTACAAAAGAATACAATTTAGCATAGTTAATTTATTATTATAGTCTATAACCCTTTGTCTTAATAAAATTATTAACATGTTTGTTTGCTATTGTTACTAGTTTTCTGCCTCCACCCCACCCCGAAAAACCTTTTTCTCCTTTACTAATATACCATATTAATAAGTTGTTTATTGATTTATTTATTTATAAAAAGCGGCATAGTTTTTTCGTGATAAAACAGAAAAATATGTACTACTACTACTATTGATCTTATCAATTGTTTAGGGACTGTTTACTCACCTACTTACTTACTTACTTAATTACTTGTCTCTTCTTATACTTATCGATGATTTTTCTTCTTTGCTCATTTCCTCTCTTTTTTTCTTTTTTCTTTTGTCATCATTAGTGACATTTAGTTTTGCTAATTTGGGTAAAATTACTTGTCAATGTTGTGTTTACATGAAATGAGTATTATTATTATTATTATTATTATTATTATTATTATTATTAAAGTCCTTGTATTTGTGAAGTCGATTGTTTCTGTTTTCTGAGTTTTTACACTAATGATGTTTATATTTTAATAAAATGAGGGGAAAAAAACTTGGGGGATGTACACATACATACACACACACACACACGCACAAATTGGCAAAACTACATATATTACACTAAATGTGTTGACTGTTATATTGACTTCTATCAATGTCGTCAACATTCGATAAAAGAATTAAATAAAAGAAAAGATAATTCACAATGTATTTACACAGGTTCTATTTTGTTTTTTATCTTTAAAATTTAAAACATTCACTGTTTACTATCTACATTCCATTGCACTTTCCTTCTATTACCTTATACAGGCATATATAGATATGATTTTGAGTTCATCCATTGTTTGTATTTTTAATAATAATAATGAGGAGGAGGAGAGTTTTCTTTGTGTGGCTTTTTGTTTGTTTTCTTCATAAGTTCTAATCTTTCTTCCATATCGATATTGTGTGTAAATGCATGAATTATTATAAATGAATGGAGTATGGTTTTCAACTCTGTTTCTTCCTCTTCTTCTTCTTCTTATTCTTATTCTCTTTGTGGTCATTGGTTTATATACAGAAAGATGTTTTAAAACAATTCATTATTCTAGTAATATTACATTAATATAAATATGGCTTAAAAAATGGCATAGATAGTTTTCTTTGGTGCCTGTGTATGTACTACTTAATTTGACTACTATTTATCGACAGATAGATAGATTTCTTGAATTTAATTAATGTTTCCTTCTATAGTTGATTGATTTCATTGTTTGTTTTTTTTGACATTGCCAACTACATGTCTTCATACGATACATAGATGGATGGATAGATCAGGATTATATGGATCCATTTCAATTATGTTTTCCTCTTTTGATGTTTATTATTCTTTCTTTGATTAGAACATTGAATTTTAAATTTGTGCATAAATCGTTAAAAATATAATGCTCATTTGATCTTTTAAAAATGAAATAAATTATTATTATTTTCTCTCCTATAGTATAATTTATGTATTCTGTTAGTGGTTATTACTTATAGTTAAGTTTGTTGATCTGTAACGTTTAAAGTTATCTATTCAATATTGATTATAGTTTGAAATGTGAACATTTGAATATTATGATAATGATCTAGAATTGTAACTTACTCTTCTGACGTTGTGAAGGTTCTAGGTTCCTCATATTTAGAAGGATCCAGAGTGAGAGCTGAACGAAAGTCATATACAAGTATAATATCGTTACAGAGTATTTGCTGTTAAGTAAGCGTTGTGTTTCACAAATATTGATTAATTTAGCTTCTATACATCATTCTAGTGAATAGATAACGAACAACCGGAAAGAAATCTACTTTAACAATATTTTTGCTTTGAAAGTACATGAGTTTTGGTTAGTAAGTTATAAATATTAGTTCAGATCATTTTGAATGTCGCTGTAATCTAACGAAAGAGAGCCCCTAAATGCCCTAGTACGGTTGAGAGTGGGAAGAGTCAAGCCTCCCTCTCGAAATGCGCTCACATGGCCACGTGCATACAACCACTGCCAGGGAATTCCTGCTCACTGTCTTATCGCGTCGGGGGTGTTGTTCACGAAATTGTGAGGATGGAAAGCAAATGTCCAACGCTTTAACCGGATCAAGAGACACGGAAAGTTCACCTAGAGGAGTTGTAAAACCCTGATTCCAAACCAATGTTTAACATGGGATCCAGCTCCAGTATCCTGCCTGAGGTAACAAATAGCGTATGAACCTATTGTTGGTCAACGGCTACCATGAAACTGCATCTCCTAACGTTGCTCCAATGCCTTGTGGATCAGACGTTCAGGTCGAAGTCTCGAGCTGTGGCCCCCTAAGAAAACCACCTGCTTCGGTTCGAACACCCGTAGATTATCCCAGTCCTCACATAAATTGAATGATTTATGTGGCGCTTATGTATTTGGTGCCTGCTTATACCAACGTTTATGTGTTTAAATAGATAAATAATAAATTATGTGATATCTACAATACTTTTGCACATTTTTGCTCAACCAACGCGTAACCTACTGGTAGTACATGAAGTATCCGAAAATTCTATGATATACTCTTATTCTACCTCTTCAATAGACAAATCTGATTCATCAAATCACTGTAAATTCTAATGCACCATTGAAAACCTGGAAGCACTAGATGATCGTTTCGTTCTAGTATGGGACTTATGATCAGTTTGCATCCACAATCCCGCATATGGAACTCGAATCCAAGACCTTCGATCTAGCTTACATCAACTCATGAATCCAACAATTAAAATCACTACGATCTCTACAAACCACCATTCAGCGAATTGTCTTTTTAAGTTCTTTTCTCTATTATGTAATAAGTCAAACTATAATATTATGTCATTAAAAGAAATAAGTCAATCCCATTAGGAAAATAGAACATTTGCTATTAAGGCCTGTCTACTGTTCAATAATCCTTAACGAATGTAGAAAAATTAATCAAGTCATGATATTAGTTAATTAAATATGAAAGGAAACTTTTCTACGTCTGGTTCTGTAGTGAACACGGACACAAATGGGAACAACCGAATGTATTTGAACACGGAATTACAAAATATCTCAATAAAATCTCAGAGCCATATAGTAACTACTTCATTTGTAAAATATCAATTCATTGTCTCAAACTTGACTGTTTCTTTTGCAAATATCAGTCCATCGTCTGAGATTTCATTGTTCCTGTATTTTCATGCAAATTACTTTCCGTTCCTGTTCTTTCCTTCTCGATCTTCTACTGAAATACATTCTATTCCTGACTATCATTATTTCCTGCTTATGTGGATATAAGTAGTTCACACCACAGTTCTATTTTAGTTCTTATGAATCTCAATATTAAAACTAAAGAAGATCTGTAGTGACCTACTTTTATAAAGAGAACGCTATTGGTATAATTGAAACAATCATTATTATTACCAATTGTACTAGTGATTGTTTTACTGTAATTGTTTGTTTAACGTACTAAAAACATACATTCTTCGATTGCTTTGACCTTGCACGAACTTCCGTTCGCATCAGTAGTTCCACTTGTACCCCTTGACACGATCTCGTATTATTTCGATACCACGAGATTGCCAACAAATACATGACATTAATCACACCCAGTGATCAACCAATTGTAAACCATCTCAGTCGTACGGAAGTCAGTCGCGACCCGGATAGCTCTGTGGTAACGTCTCTAGCTGTGAAGATGGATGATACGTTGTCGAATCCGTCAGGGGGCATCAGTTCCTAA